CCTGTTTGAAGGATTTATGTGAGACAATACAAAATACAACTGGGCTTGAAGTTGTTTATTTACACAATTCTTATTAATATAACTACTTTTAAAATATAGCAGAAAGGATCAATTACTCATCTGTGAACTGGCACATACATGGGAGAGGAAAAAAATCTACAGTCAGTTAAGCTGTTAAAGCTGACCATTGAAACTTGTTAAATAACAGTGGAATGTTTGCAGTATTCCCTAAATAGTATGAAATTAAAACATATTTATTCATAAGAACTTGATTATTTTTGTATTACTGACTATAAAGAAAACTGAAAGATAATATCAGACTCTGAAGAATATTTTACAAAAGAAAATGTTGGATTTTACATCTAATTATAAACCAAAATATAAAGCGGACCATAACGTATCTATGCTTTTCACCGCAGATCATCAGAGCTGATGGCATTCCTGTAAAGAGCATACACAACTCTTACCACAGCTCTTCCATGGTTCTGTTCTTTGAAGTAAAATTCAATATGCTCTCCAACTAAGTCAAAATTTGCTAATAGCTAACTTCACCAAAACTATATTTGTTTAGACTCATATCTTGCTTTTGCATTATATACAATGTTTTCTAAACTTTCTTTTTCTCAATTTGCAAAAATATTTTGAATCAATCTTCTTCATAATTATTAATAAAGGCAGATCTTTTAAAATCCACATTCAAGATCTTGAAAATATTTGAGAAGACAATAAACATCAAAAAGCAATTAAGTACATCAAAAGGTACATTTGAAACAGTGCCCTACTATTTAATCAGAAAGATATGCAGATTTTTTTCTGGTAATTACTGTAATATCATTTAATCTCTGAACAAAGAGAAATACATAAATATGTACTTCTATAAATTCATTTATGAATACTGTACAAACAGGCTGACAGTAGTAATTGGCACCCACCAGTAAAATGGGTTACAAAGCTACTGGAAAATGAATAACTTAAATTCTGGTCTTCAGAGGAAAGATACAAAAGAGATAAATTACATCAAAATCAGTATAATTTTTACACAAAATAACTTGAACAATGTAAGAGGTAATCCTTAGTCTTTCAAGAAGAAAATGAAGTGGCATAGTTTAGTGTTTCCTATCTTCAGCTTTCACCAGGTACTACAAGAACCATTTAAGTCAGTTTCTTATTTGAGCACAAACTGCTGTAATTTAAGTGTTATATCAAATGAGTTGTCGATCTACTTAAAGTATGACTTCGTCTTTCAAAGAAGGAAGGAAGGCTGATAAGGGAAGGCGATTGGATACCTGCTAGTGATGATGTGCTAGCAAGGCGACTCACTGTGTGCTTCTCGCTGCTGGGAGGGCTTCTGCCCTCCACTGAGTTATAGGATGGCATGAGAGCCATCCGTAGGGCTCGTTTCGGAGTTTTGGAAAAAGAAAATGCTCTTGTAACCTTTTTTGAAGTCTTTCTTATTGCTCTAGATGCTCTACTCAGTGTACTATCCATATCTTTTGTATTTACTTCAAAGGATTCTGGGTCAGCAGTGTACATGAGATTTTCCGCATCTGCTTTACAAATGGTGTTGGCTACGTGTCGGCACAGCATCTTCAGCCAGCTGTCCTTTGGAAGATCATCTGATGTCATCTGGAAACTGAGCAGCACGTTTTCCTGCTCTGTTGGTGGCCTCACAAGCAAGGCAAAAGCATTACGGCAATCTTCTGTCTCTCTTATATCCAGCACCTTCTTGATCTGAGAAAGGGGCATTAGATGAATATGCTTAAGAGAAGCCGGGGGTCGAGTATGGCCAGGTGAACTTCTAAAAGTGCCAATAACTTTGTGGCGTTTTCTTGCTATCTCAAGGCAGTCATTGAAGAGAAAGAGAGTAACTTGTTCTCCTCTGTCACAGGGGTGCTCACTTAGAGAAACAGTTTCAACTCGTTGCACCAAACTTCGGTGGGAAGATAAAAGATTAGCCGGGCATCCATCTACTTCATAAACAACATCAAAAATTTGCTTTTGTGCTTCTGTTTTTCTTTTATCCTCATTGATATGCGTCATTACTTCTTTTAGTGATCCAATAGCTTTCTCTAAAGTGCTTTTCTCAGGATTTTCATCGGCTGTATGTTTCTTAAGATCATTTAAAAGTAATGCAACACTAGGTAACCTCTGTACTGGTCGGATGAGAAGTTCAACAAGGCTTTGTCGTCCACATTCCGGCTTAGCTTGGTTTATCTTAAGAAAAGCATGAAATCTGGGTTTCTGTTTTTCACATTTAATAATTGTTTCTTTGCTCATTTCAAAGAAGTTTACAAAGGGAGGGTAGGTTTTTACCAAATCTTTTGA